GGAGCATCGTCAAAATTCAACCGAAACCGCAGAGCATTTTTTGGAGCATCGTCAAAATTCAACCGACACCGAAGAGCATTTTTCGGAGCATCGTCAAAATTCAACCGAAACCGAAAAGCATTTGTTGAGCATCGTCAAAATGCAACCGAAACCGAAGAGCATTTTTGGAGCATCGTCAAAAATTCAACCGAAACCGAAGAGCATTGTTGGAGCATCTGCTTCAAAAAACCGAAAAGCATGTTTGGAGCATGCATAAATAATGTTTCAGAATTTCCCCTGATATGAACGCATCGGTGCATCGCAAACTTAGGATGAGGAGGGAGTGAGGGTGAGTGGTGAGGAGGGAGAACGTGGGGGTGGGTGTGTTCCTGCGCAAGGTGTCACACAAAAACAAGAACCACACTTTGGATGTGGGGAACAACTACATGAACATTCAGTGTTTCTGACGTCCGCACGATTTTCCAAGGTATGTGTTGCCCCCCCCTTCCCGGCAAACCTTCGCTTGCGCGCAGAGCGCGCCGCCAAGGGCGCCACACGCTCGGAGGGGGGAGATCCTCCGGGAAGAAGGCGCCGACCCAACAAATCCGGGCGGACGTTTCCAATCCTCCCGTGTTGGGTTCTCGCCTCGGACAGAACACTGGTTTTACGTTTCATTAGCCTGCGCCCTTCTCCTGCATTTCCCGACCCTCCTGCGTTGGGTTCTCGTTTTGAAGGCAGTACTGTTTGCTCCAACCTGCCCTCCTCCTCCTCTTTTTCCTCCTCCTCCTCATCCGCCTCCCCCGTCTCCTCCTTCTCATCCTGCTTCTCCTCCTCCTCCTCCTCCTCCGCCGCCTCCTCCTCCTCCTCATCATCGTGCCCCTCCTCCATTCGCCTCCTGAATCCTCCTCCTACTTTTCCTCCTCCTCCTCAGCCTCCTCGTCCTCCGCCTCCGCCTCCCTTGCCTTCCACTCCTACTCTTACTCCTACTCCTAGGCCTACCCATACTCCTACTCCTACTCATATTCCGATTCCTACTCCTACTCCTACTCTGCTCGCCTCCTTCTCCTCCTCATCCTCCTCGTCTTTTTTCTTCTTAATAATAGCAGTTGTAATTTTCGTAGTGTTATCAGTATTAACATTATTAGTATAAGTATGCACCTACGTCTTATCTTGAATCGTATTATTCTTACTATAATTATTAGTAATAGCATTACGTTTATTATTCCTCCTCCTCCGCCTCCTCCTTCCCCATATCGTTTTTCTCCTCCTCCTTTTCCTCCTCCTCCTCCTGCTCCTTTCGTGGGTTCATGGGAGGTCCTGCGGAGTGGTGCCATTCGCAGATCAAAACGAGACCGCGCAACTGTCGCTCGCCCCTTTCGTGGGCCCTCTGGAGGTCCAACGGAATGGGGCCGCACGCAAGTCAGAACGAGACGTCGCCTTCCCCGCTGGGTTGCGAGCTGCGCAACTTGCACCGCTCTCGTGAGCTCCTGGGAGGTCCAGCGGAATAGTGCCTTACGCACATGCCGACTTAACCTCGCAGTTTCATGGGGTCCGTCGCCTGTCCAAGTGTCGCCCCTGCCGTGGTTTTTGCGATATGGGTTGCGAAGGTGCGTGCGTGAGTTGGGGGCTGTGCGCGTGGCCCGACGGTGTTTGGCAAGGTGGTCAATAGTGCTGCAAATCTCTCAATGTGTTAACGCTCCTTCACCGAAGACCATCCTTTGGAGCCGCCATGAGCCCCAAATAATCGCCGAATTCCGAAGGAGTTGAGCTGCAATGTATAACTGTTTGAAAGCATGCAGTGCTGGGCGCGCAGGCCCGCCTGCAACGCTCCCTGGCGAGCATCCATTGTGATCCAAACATCACCGCGGCCGTCGCCATCAGCACCGCCAAGACCACAAGAGAACAAGCGTTACAATCACCATCGCGCTGTTGGCACGTCGGCCTGCGTCGCCGCAGATCGACTCTTTGCCACAGCCGGGTGCTGCGAGCTCCCAGCAGCATGTGTCGACAGCTGTCCCAAGCAAATCCGCAGGGCCGCCGAAAAGGCCGCCGAAATCGTCGCCGAAATCGCCGCCGAAATTGCCGCAGAAATTGCCGCTGAACTGACCGCCGAACTTGCCGCCGAACTTACCGCCGAAATTGTCGCCGAAATTGCCGCCGAAGTACTTGCGCACTCCGCCAAGATTGCCGCCGAAATTCAGCCGCCGAAATCGCCGCCGAAATTCATAGCCGCCGAAATTGTCACTGTTATATTAAACACGATGACGCCGCGGACACAGGCATAGAGTCACAGCCAAGGTCAAATCCGGTCTCTTTTCGGCGGCGCAATCCGGAATTTCGGCGGAAATTTCGGCGGCAACTTCGGCGGCAATTCTGGCGGCCCTTTCGACGGCTCTTTCGGCGGCCCTTTCGGCGGTTTTTTCGGCGGCCCTTTCGGTGGCAATTTCGGCGGCCCTTTCGACGGCCCTTCCAGCGGCCATTTCGGCGGCGTTGCTCTTGCCAACTGTCGACAATGGCTGACCGGAGCTCTCGGCACGCGGCGGCCCAGGCGGGCCCTGAGAGGGCCCTCGAAGGGCCTCGCCAAGAAGCGTCTGCGAAGTAGCTAATGCCATGCGCGATTGGCACGCGATAGCATGCGCAACATGCAAAATGAATGCCTCGCAGTATGCGTCAGCACGCCCTGAGATGTGCCGGGAAACCACCGCGCGGCAGGGCGCGCCTGCAAACTGAAACCATCAAAACAAAACTCAATTTCGTTTGGAATGGATTTCGGCGCGCGCCTTTTGTCGTATCCAAAGAAAGAATCCCTTTTCGTCTCCAAAGAAAAAACCTCCTATGGTTAGTCGCCTCGCGCGGAGACAGGGCCGGGTACGTCTCGCACAAAGCGTCTACAATACAATCGTCCTTTGTCTTCTATGTGACAATCCCGACGTCAGAGGTCTGGCAGCCGGGGAAGGGGTGTTGGTTGGGAGGAGGGCCCAGGCCCTCCCCAAGAAACCCGCGCGGACCATAGAAGAATTACCTAAACTCCAAGTCGGGGCGTGCCGCACGTGCCCGCAAGAAAGCGGGTCCAGAACATCGAGTCGCCCCGCAACGGGCCCAAGGCCCCATGGTGGTTCCCGAGACAAAGACCACTCCAAAGCGGAGAGCCCGAACACGAAGAACAGAAGGGCTCCCCCCCAAACCCGGGAAGTTGTCAACCATCCTGCCAGCCACTCAGAAACAAAAAGAAAACATATCTCATTATTCGCAGTAACGCCCGTTACCGGCCCCACCCCCACCCCTCCACCCACCACCCCCCTGGTCACGTCACGATTCGCGTTGGCGCCGTCTGGGAATCAGCTATTCTGAAGCATTCCCAGACGGTGCCAGCGCCAATCGTGACATCACCAGCCTCCGCCCCCACCCCTGTTCACGCCCGCTATCGTCCGGGGAAAAAAGCTGTCTCAAAAGAACTGCGCATAGAAATACATGTTCGGAGGTCCGTGCGGACTTATTGGATGGGCGCTGACCCCTCTTCGGCGCGCGGAGCGCGCCAGGGTCGGCGCTGGAGGAGCCGCCAGGGGGGGCCCAGCGCCGAAGTAAGAAGTCCGCGCCAAAGTGTATGCCAGTCGTTCTCCTTATGCTCGCGCCAGCTGCGGTGTCGTCGTCTGCCCTATTCGGCAAAGTCCAAACGTCGAGTGGCAGGTTCTTGCCATGACGACCCTGGCGTTGGTTTCTGACACCGCTTGGATCCTTCAGCCATACACGATCGGCGGCGTTTCGATCGCCAGGTCGGTCCACATGGGCCGATCCCATCCACTGGCAACATTCACTGAACGCCCGCACTGGGGTCGCCGCCGCGCCAGCACGACGCGAGCCGACCGCATCTCCAGGACATCGGCCACGCCTGCTGACCGACGAGCAGACGCGGTTCTTCCGCGAGGCGACGTAGCGACCTTACACGGTGGCTTACGCAGGCCGCCAGCGCGGAACGCTACATTGGAATCGAGGGTACTTACGCGCGACCTTACGTGGGCAGCTCACGCGCGAAGGCCCGTGCGAGCGAGCCCGTCTGTTTGAGGGACAAAGACAGGGGGGATAGGCATTGGGGTGGGGGAACATCGGCCTGGAATCTCGCCGATAGATCAGCGATAGGCCCCCGATAGCAAATCCCAACGTTCCTGGGAGGGGTGGAACTATTAGATCCCTATCAACGATCAGTGCGCGATAAGGGGTCGATGCGTTCCCCCCATATGCACATCCCCCCAGTCGTTGCCCCTAGGTTTTCGGGTCGTAACTCAGCTCTCCGGCGGCCGTTCGGCCGTTCGGGACGATTCGAACTACCCCAGAACGCTCTCGGCGAGGCGCAGCTGCTGCAAGGCCTCTCGAGGCTGGAAAACCACCGAGGGCCAACGAAAACAAGCGAAAACCTCGGACCTCGAAGCCGTGCGCCCCCCCTGACCCTACCCGCCCTATCGTTGCCTCTGACTTGTTTGCTTCGCTCAACTTCCCCCCCCGCCGGTCCTTGGCCGCTTGCCTCGCCGCGGCCTCCGCCGCCTTCTTCTCGGCGGGCGTGTCCTGAAATGAAAGATCTTCTAGAACTACGACGACGATGACGACGACGACGACGACGATGACGCCGACGACGACGAAGACGAGGACGAGGACGAGGACGAGGATGAGGATGAGGACGAGGACGACGCCGACGACGACGAGGACGACGACATCGAGGACGAGGACGACGACGACTGCGACGACGACTGCGACCATGACTGCGACCGCGACAACGACAACTGGAGTTTCTACAGTCGGGCTGCTGGAATAAATGACAGAACAATTGAGGAACGAAGACCCCTTTTGGCCCCAGAACCTCCGTGCATGAAGGCTAGTGGGAGGACCCAAGGAACATCCAGCCCCTTCTGAACCAACACTTTTCATTACTTCAATGTCTTGGCTGTAGCTCGGGATGCGTGCTGGAAGTTCTAGAGATTCTAGCGGCACTTCGCCACTCGCCCTCGGCCAGTCGTCTATCGCCGCGCGGGGTGATCAGAAAGCCTGGAAACCTTGAGACATCTCATCATAATGCCTCCTCGCTCCTCGGATGACGTGCGCCGCTCCCCCGAGGCTGAGAGGGGGCCGATAAGCTCGGGCCGAGTCTGCTGAGCGAGGCGAGCGGTGCCCAAAGCTCCCTCGACCTGGCTGGTCTCAGTGCCGGCATTGTTTCGACGACCTCGGCCTCAGGGGCTGTTTCCGGGGCAGGACGGGCGGTTCCATCGCAGACGAGGCCCTCGATGTATCTCCAGAGGCACAAGGTTCCTGCAGGAACGCGTGCTGCAGGGCGTCGTCAGGGCGGATCCGGTTCGCTGGGTCCAGCGCGGTCATCCGTTCCAGCAGGTCGGCGAACTGGACAGCCCTCTTGCAGTAGGCCTGGTCCTCCGGCACCTCTAAGAGGAGGAACCGAGCTGCATAAGCATACAATACCGGAGGTCCACACGGATTTCTTAGTCGGCGCTGGGCCCCCCAGCGGCGCCTCTGGCGCGCTCCGCGCAGGCGCTGCCCCTCCCTCCCTGGCGCGCGGAGCCAAAAGGGTCTCTGGCGCCTGTCAAAGAAAACCGCGAGGAGTCCCAGACGTGTGTGTGTGTGTGTTCATGCCGCTGGTTTTCCTTCGGACCTCCGACTGCTGCTTCTCCTTCCCTACTCTCTCCATGACCAGATCCTTTAAGCTCCTGGTGGCGTTCAGGTCTGTGATGATCTTCGTCACCTGCTGGCCGCTGCCAGGATCGTCCACCAGGTGCTTGAAGTCTAGGTCATCGGTGAAGTGGTTTTTCCAGACCGCACCCTTCTTGATGACCTTGCCTGGAATCTTCCCCTTGAGCTCCATAATGCTCCTCAGGTGGCCATTGTTTGTCTTGCTCTTCAGAAGGACCTTGCCTGTGAAGATCCGCAGGGCCCCTCGCTAGGAGCATCTGCCTCTGGAGAAAAGCAACTGAGAGCTCAGAAACTAACACACCTCCCTCGGCTCCCATCCACCCTGCCTCCCCCATCCCATCCCTCTACATCTCACTCTCCCTCCCTCATTCCCCTCCCCCTCCTCGTTATGATCGTCTCCCTCTTCTTTGGAGACAGCTGCAGTGAGCCCTCCTCCCGAGGGGCTTGCAGAGGCGGTCATAAAAGATCGCGACCTGTATCGATGCGTGAGTTGGAGGAGGACCCCGGATGAAGTGGATGAGCTTCTACCGAGGCACGAAGCGTCGGGAGGGGAAAGCCGCCCACTGCAGGAATTTGCGCGAACGGGGGACAAAAGGGGACACGGGTGGGAGGACGAAGACGAGGATGCGGAGAATGCTTGGGCCGTGAGTAGCATGCGGTCTGACTTCGAGGACTGCGGGGGGAGAAACCGCGCACCCCCGCCATTGAAAACTTCGAGGACCTCCCGCTGTCGGCCGCGGCAGGTCGAGGAGGATGGGGATGAGGATGAGGATGGGGATGAGGATGACGAAGAAGAATCAAACGTACTCGGCCTTGCGCATGGTCTCATCGTCGAGCTGGTGATCACCGGGCATCGGGCTCGAGCAAACGCTTACCTCGCACGAACGTGCGATGAATAAAAGGAGTGACGGGCATCGCGCACCGTACCGCCCATCACACTCTGTACATGGGTGGGTAATGATGATGATGATAAGGGAAGGATGGGAGGGGCCCCAGGAGGGAATCGACATATACTCCAAGTCGCGTGGTCGGCGGAGGAGGACGACGAGGATTACGAGGAGACGGGGAGGTAGGAGGATCCACCCAGCTCTCCGACCACTCGATACTTCGAGCCTCGCCCCCCCCCGGCGGAACTCTCGACCCCTTCTTTCCTTGGGACTGCGTTTTCGTACTGGTTCGGTTTTGAGGGTGCAGGGACCCGAAAACGGCGTTCAGAGAACAACAACTGTGATAAAAAAACCTCAAGCCAGAGGAGCTGGGTCGGATTTGCCATCCCTGTATCTTCTACGGCGGGGGTCCATCGGAGAAGGCCAGAGGCGCACGGATCTCGAAGAGGGTGCACGCCAATGCCCACGTGTCGACCTGCCCGCGCCTCCCAGCCATGAATGACCTCATCCTCAACCTGCTCATACTTATCCACCTCCTACTTTGGTGGGACTACTACTACCACTCCGACGACGACGGCAACCACGACTACGGCTACGACGACGACTACTACTACTACTACTACTGCTGCTACTACTGCTACTGCTACTGCTTCTGATGATTCGACTGCTGCTACTACTACAACTACGACTACGACTACGACTACGACTACTACTACCACTACTACTACTACTACTACTACTACTACTACTACTACTACTACTACTACTATTACGACTACGGCTACGGCTACGACTACGGCTGCTACTACTGCTACTACTACCTCAATAACTACAACAACAACTACTACTACTACTACTACTACTACTACTACTATTATTACTACTACTACGACTACTACTACTTCTGCTTATGCTCCTACTCCTACCCGTACTCCTACTCATACTACCACTGCCACTACTACAACTACAAATACGACTACTCCTACTACTACTACTACTACTCCCAGTGGTCCTGCGGATCTGGTTTTTTAGATCCTGCGTTTTGTTGGTGGGAATGTATTTTTATATATTTGCACAACAGGATCTATTGTACCATGTGGGATCTATTTTTGATTTTTCTCATAAAATGTACGACAGGCGATACATATACTATATGGCAGTTTTTGCACATAAGCAAGCTTCCGCAGGACAAATGCCACATTCAACATCACAGACGAAACATTACACACATAAATAATGATGAGTCTTAGCATCAGCGTTTGATGTGCCAAAACGACGGAACGGCGGCGGAGGGAGGGGGAAAGCGATCGGGAAGAGCACTAGAGGACGCGGAGGGGAGGAGGAGGAGGAGGAGGAGGAAGAGGAGGAGGAGGCGGAGGAGGAGGAGGAGGAAATGAGGACGATGATGAGGATGAGGACGGGGGGGAGGAGGAGGACGAGGAGGAGGAGAGGGAGAAGGAGGAGGCGGAGGAGGAGGAGGAGGAGACGGAGGAGGAGGAGGGGGATGAGGAGGAAGAGGGGCGGAGGAGGAAGAGGACTTAAGAGGAAGAGGAAGAGGATGAGGATGAGGATGCGGAGGAGGAGGAGGAGGAGGAGGCAGCGTCGGCCTCCCCCCCCCCGTGCGATCGTCATCTGCCGCGCTCCGATCGCGCCGATCGGATCGCGGGCTGCGCTCGGCCGCCCTGGGGGCCGGGCTTGCGCGCCGCGGCGGGTCGGCAACGCCGCTGCAGCACGCCCGCGGGGGCGGCGCCCCCCCGCGACCGGCGAGGAGGAGGAGGAGGAAATTTCAGGAACTTCTTCGACGAGATGGAGAACGATGTGAACGTGGGCTCGGGCGCTGCGGCGGACGAGGATGAGGAGATGCAGGATGAGGACGAGGTGATGTCGGACATCGTCAGGGGCGTGGAGAACTTGCGTGGGGCGGCTGGTGCCGCGCCTTCCGGAGCAGCTCATCTTGGCGGCGCACCTGGCGCCGCTGCTGCTTCGGGGGGCGCCGCAGGGGCTGCCGCTGCACCGCCCGCCGCCGCTGCCGCCCGGCCGCCCCGCGCCGCGCGCCGCCCCAGGGTGAGTACCTGGACGGCGACTCTGCAGCCTGTTCGGAAACATGTTGCAATGTGTTATGTTTGTTGTCAAGGCTTCGCTCACAAGGAGGTGCGGCTGGCGAGCCGCGCCAACCCGGACCGCTACTTCCGACATCCTGCCTGCATCCCTGGAGGCATCCCGGCAGGCGCGGTCGAGGGTCTGGCCGCGCTGCCCGAGGAGGCGCGCGCGGAGGTCCTCGCGTGCATGGTGGACGCCACAATGCCGCGGCCCAGCGCCGCCGACGCACCTTCGGGGGACCCGGAGCCCCGGCACGCGGTCGCCGCCGAGGCCGGAAACCTCCCAGGCCTGACGTGGTGGGACGCCTTCGACCTCCAGGGCGCCCTCCGCGAGCCCGTGCCCACGTGGACGGCCGTCCCAGACAGCCTCACCGTGGCCGTTGGCGAGCTGATGGCCGCGGCGCTGAAGGCGGTGGCCACGGACCCAGCCCGAGAGGCGGCCTGGGCGCGCTTGCTGCTCCTACCGCGCATGCTCTTCGCCATCCCTCCTGCTGGCGATGACCGGCACGCCGATCGACCCACCGCCCTGGGAGTGATCACCGCCAGAATCCGGCAAGCATGGGCGGGTGATTGGGTGGGGCTTTGGGCGGCCACTGCGCGCCCCGGCGACAGTGGCGACGGCGGCCGGCGGCCACCGGGCGCCGCAACCCAGACCAAGCGGGTGCACGAACTCATCATGCTTGGGGAGGTGTCTCGGGCCGCCGCGGCCGCGAGCGGCCCAGGGAAGCTGGCTGTCGGGGCGGAGGCGCGCGCCCGCCTGGCCAGCCTTTTCCCAGAAGCCGGAGCCCCGCGAGCGCCGCCTCCGCCGCAACACCCAGAGGAGGCTTGGGAGGCCGAGGCTGCGGAGGAGGCCGCCGGGCACTTGAACAAGTTCCCGCGGCATTCGGGGCCGGGCCTCACGGGTGCCCGCTTTGAGCACTGGGCGACGCTCCGCGGGAACACCGACGGGAAGGAGGCGCTGGTGCAGGTGCTCGCCTTCATCATGCGTGGCGAGGCGCCGCCGGCTGCCTCAACGGCGCTGCTGGGCGGCCGCCTAATCCCGCTCCAGAAACCAGACGGCGGGGTGCGGCCTCTCGCCTGCGGAGAGACGCTCCGACGCAGGGCGGCGAAGGCAGCGACGAAGAAACACAAAGAGCTCATCGCCCAGGCGGTGGGGCCGCGCCAGTACGGGGTTGGCCGGCGCAACGGCGTGGAGGTCATGCACAAGCTGGTGAACTGCTCTGTGGAGAAGGCCCAGAACAGCGCAGTGCTGTCACTCGACGTGGCCAACGCCTTCAACGAGATCGACCGGGATGTCGTGCTCCGGGAAGTCACCCGGCGCCTGCCGCCCCTCTCGCGCCTCGCCTCGGCTTGGTACGGCGGGGGCACCACGCACGGCGCTCACGCGGGCGGCCCGGCAGCGGAGGTGACAGCGGAACGCGGCCTGGACCAGGGCTGCCCCCTGTCCCCGGCTTTCTACGCCACAGCCACGGCGAGGCTCTACGAGGAGCTGGCGGCGGCCGCCTTCCAGCACGACCCAAACATCAAGGTAGTGGCCTACCTCGATGACGTGTTTGTCGTCGGCACGCCGCAAGCACTCGCCGCGGCCCTCGCCGACGCCCCGGCTCTCTTCGCAGCGCGCGGCCTCCGCCTCAACGCCGACAAGACCAAGGTGTGGAACCCGCGCGGGCTGCAGCTCCCGCCAGGTCTCGCGACCGCGGCGGTGGCCGAGCTCAAGTGCGTAGGCAGCCGCTTGCCGTTCGTCTGCGGCGGGGCGGCGGAAGACGACCTCGGCCAGGATCCCGGGCGGACGAGCTTTGGCACGGCGGCCGCGCCCGAGTCGGCGGCGGGCCACTTGCGCGCATTCCTGGCGAAGCTGGAACACCTGCGCGGGCACGGCCTCCGGCTGCAGGACGAGCTCGTGCTCCTGCGCACGTTCGTCAACGGCGCGGCCCTCCACCACGCGCGCGCGCACCTGCTCGACGAGGCCTGGGCCCGCGCCTACGACGACAGAGTCTTGGAGCACGCCCAGGGTGCGCTGGGGCAGCCGCTCACCGCGACTGCGCGCGAGGTGGCCTTCCTGCCCTTGGCGGGCAGCGGGCTTGGCCTGCACAGCTTGGAGGAGCGACGTCTGCCCGCGTTCGTGGGCTCCTGGCAGGCGTGCTTGGCGGAGGTGCGCCGCGAGCTCGGCGAGCCCAGCCTCCAGGCCTTTGCCGCCGCCTGCCCTCAGACGTGGGCGACGGTCGAGCAAGCGGGGCGGCTGGCTGGGACGGGCGCC